TAAGAAGATGCTAGTGCTATACTTTTCACGAAAAAAAATTTGAATTTATAAATGTCATCGCATGCAAACCCGAAAATCAGTCAAAGATTGTCAAGAACGGACGCAAGTCAACTCGACCCACTGGCAAAACGCCCTACTTTTTTAACAACACGCCTCCCTTTATAAAAATATCCCACTCTTGTTAAGGGAGCTACCATGTGAGTTTTATTGGGGGGTACTGGTAGGGGTGTGTTATTTGAAAAATATGCGGAACTGGAGTTCTGTCAACTTATAAGGAATCCATGACAAATCGCCCCACTGGCAAATCGCCCCACACCTAATCGCCCCACTTTTTCACCAACTCGCCCCACTTCCTAAAAAATCGCCCCACTCTTGTTTACCAACTCGCCCCACTTATGAAAAGGGTAAAATCCCATTGAAAATAGGTTGGATAACATGCCCCACTCATGAAAAGGGTTAAAATCCCGCTGAAATAAGGTCTGCCAACTCGCCCCACTCATGACAAATAGATAAACCACGATGAATTTAGTAATGCCAACTCGCCCCACTTATTGAAAAAGATGCTATCCCGTTGTAAATGTTCCTGCCACTTATAAATAAAATCAATACCTATGAAAACCTTAGATAAACATCTTTTGTTATTCTTTTCTTTTTGTTTAAATAAAGCAGTAAGAAGTGAGTACCAGTATTTCGGTGACGTGAATGTCAACTCGCCCCACTTGTGAAAAATAGAAAATTCCTGATGAATTGAGTTATCCCAACTCGCCCCACTTATGAAAAATAGGAAAATCCTAATATTGAGTCATGCCAACTCTTTACACTTATGAAAAAGGAAGTAATACCGTTGAATTTATGTCTGCCAACGTACCCAACTGATAAATAAAAGTATGAATAGAATTAATGGCTACCAACTAGCCCCACTTATGAATAAAATGATTAAACTGTAAGGAGTGTAGGCCTTCCAATTCTGCCAACTTATGAAAACGTTAGAAATGCATCTTTTTTTTTTGGTTCTTTTCTTTTGGTTGAAATAAAACAGACTACATAATTATGCATAACAATAACATTTAAAACAAACATACATTAAATCAGTTATGACAAGCACTGGCATGATAACATAAAAAGAAGTACTAGATGAAATGTCCATGCTGATGTGCGTTGGTTAACACGCTGAAGTGCAATGGTCCATTGTGACACTAACTTGTTGTTAGATATGCTGAAGTGGGTTTGGTGGATACGCTGAAGTGCGATGGTCTAACTGTGACGTGTATACTAGCTAAATGCAATGGTCTGAAGTTGAAATCCCATTTTTAAATGTGGCGGTGTAGTGGTTAATGTGCTAGCCTCGCGTTTGGAAGACTGGGTTTTCTGGTCAGGTCAAAATAAAGACTTTAATTTTTAATTTGCTAATGTTTTGCTTAGTATACAACAGTATGAGGCAGAAAATTGACTGGATGGCTCAGATTAAGTATAATGGATTCGAGTTGGGGGACATTGTTTTTATAATGAGCATTCAAGTGCGATAAAAAATAAAACGGGTATAGCACAGCGCTCTTTGTAGTACTAACTAAGCAGGATACACTTAATTTTATCAAATATACTAGTAACTTGTTCTTGTCATGTCAGTAGATACGAAATTTCTCACAACACTCATGCATCTATTTATTTAATAAATCATAACAGTTTTTAAGAAATAAAAACTACCGATTACATTTATGCTTGACATATAGTGAGACATGACGCTTGTTCTGTCATTAGCTTGAGAATTAGCTGATTTTTCACTAAGCAGCAGAAACTGAGAATTACAACAAGTTGGCACCATTTGGGTTTCTTTTGGCCTAACCCATAGCAGAATATTAATACTTTAAACAAAATAAAATAACCAAGATTGCCCGTTTTCTTACAAAGCATGCCGGATTCATTTCGAGAATAAAACAAAATTATCGCTACTTGATATAACGAAAACATTGCTAATAATTAATTTATTATTTTGAAAGTTGTCCACACAAAATCATGTGATGTTAACTTGAGGAGAAGTCAAATTTTATATAAGACCAAGACATGCTCAAAACTGTTTGGGACTTAAATCGTTCGTTTCATTCTGTTTCCTTTCCTTCGTACGTACGAAACCTTCATCTACAAATCTTATTCTCCTGCCTGTGAATCCATTTGTTTCATAACGTTGTATTTGAAAACGTCACAATATCAAACGTCATGCAAAATCATCGCACTTCATCGAAAGGACCATTGCACTTCGACGTGGACCATCGCACTTCGGTGTGGACCATCGCACTTCAGCGTCCCCATCGCACCTCTGAGTCCTACACATGTATAAGCCAAAAACTGCATTTTACCCCTATGTCCTATTTTTAGCCATGTTGGCATGTTAGTTAGCAGGAGAGGTCATCTGACACATATTTCTAACTAAATATCCGAATGATGTTTGTGGCCAAGTTTGGTTCAATTTGACTCCCTAGTTTCAGAAGAGAAGATTTTTGTAAAAGTTAACAGAGACGGACAACGACGACAGACGCCTTGTGATGAGAAAAGCTAATAAACAGCTGTGCCACGAGCGCATGATACACCCGTCGTCTTGTGTGTGAAGTTTTATGCAATAATCATAAATAGTTTCTGAGATAAGGCGCGACATGTGAAAACCCCCCTTTTTTACAAAAAACTCAATAACTCTAAAATAAAATTTTGAATCATCACCAAAAAGTATACAGATCTTAAGATTAATATAAATAAGTAGTGTGTAAAGTTTTAAGCAATAATAATACATGTTTTTTGAGATACGGCGCGACATGTGAAAAAAACACACCCCTGTTTTAGCTATAAAGTCTTGTAACTACGAAAGTTTAAATCTTATTTTCACCAAAAAGTATGCAGATAGTTTGACCATCATAAGAAACAACTATGTTAAGTTTCATTAAATTTGGTGGCTTCCTTACCAACTCGCCCTGCTTAAAAAAAAAATTGCCCCACTTATGAAAAGGGTTAAATCCATAAAATATACTCCTGTCAACAATGGCAACTCGCCTAACTTGGGTAAAATCCAAATGAATATAGAATATAAAAAAAATAAAGGTCTGCCAACTCGCCCATATTTACTTATCTACCCAGAAATTAGAAGACACTGATACAAAAAAATCGAAATTTAATATATGATATTTATTGATTTAAAATGATGTTTCACTTCTTAAAATATGATTGTAGATTCATTATTTATTATTAAATTATTATGTAATTTATGTATTAATTTATTGCATGTATTGTATCATAATCTATTTGATTCTTTTTTTAGCTGACTCAAAATCATGCATGATGATGCTGTTTGGGCCCCCTGGTTGTACATAGGAAGTGGACTCCTCGAGAAGATGAAAGGTCTGCTTTACATGTATGTAATGTAAATATAAAAATAAGAAAATGTGGTGATTGCCAATGAGACATTTATAAATTCAGATTTTTTTTGGAAGTGGGGCGAGTTGGTGAAAAAGTGGGGCGATTAGGTGTGGGGCGATTTGCCAGTGGGGCGATTTGTCATGGATTCTTTTTGATTAATACCTTGTGTATTAATTAAGCAGCAGGGGGTATAATGATGGACATTTAGGGCCATCATGGTGACCATATTTTTTATGGCCACCATTAATAAGATAATGTCACAGGTAGTACTGTATCAAGTTTATAATATATTTTTAAAATTGGAGTTATCTTCCTTTGACCATGATTAAAGTTTAATCAACTACAATCAATGCTTTATACAATGCAATGTTTAATTTTGACTTCCACTGATAAAACACAGATCAAGTTTAATTTGGGTAGTGTCACTTTAACCATTATTGAGTTATGCCCCTTTATAAATCGAAAGATTGCAAAATTTTTAGTTTCCATTCTGTAACTGAAGTTTTCCCCAGCCAGACATTATGAAACCTTTACACAATATTCATTACCACAAAACTCAGTAAAGATCAAGTACAATTTTTTTGTTTCCGTTCTCTAACTTGAGTTTGCCTCAACCAAATGTTATGAAACTTATACACAATGCTTATTACTACATAATACAGATTAAGTACGAAATTAGGTGGCAACACTTTTATCATTCTAGAGTTATGTCCTTTTATAAACATAAAAATTGCTGAATTTTTTTAGTTTGTCTCAACCAAATGTTGTAAAACTTATACACACTCATGTTAGAGTTATGCGTGTTTACAAATAGAAAAATTGCTAAATTTTTAGTTTCTGTTCTTTACTTAAGTTAGCCTCAACCAAATGTTATGAGACTTACACACAATACTTATTACCACAAAACTCAGATCAAGTTCAAATTTGGGTAGCGTCACTTTTTCCATTCTTCAGTTATGTCCCTTTATAACTATATGATATGCAAGCGGGGGCATCATCTGTGTCCACATGTGGACACTATCCACATTTATTTATTCATGTTATTACACCGTTACATTTTCAGCATTTTGATAGTTTGTCTATTTCAAATCTCTTAAAGTTATGATTTTCAAACATGGAATATTATGATCACTGTGGGTATTATTTCTGTACCAAAATTTTTAGTACAAAACAAGTACTGTAAAATACTGGTACCGTACCTAAATATTACAATAATTTTTAAGTAAAGAAGTAGTACTAAATATTAAAAGTAAATGTCCGGTACTAAAGATTTTTAGTACAGAAATAGAGTAAAAAGGATAACAATGTACGAAAAATACTCTGGTTACCAACCAATCAAAATCCGGCATTACTATATAAGGTTGAATTTATAAGGAAAATTGCATTGCAAGCAATCCCAAACAGGCCTACATTTCTTGTAGATGAATTATGAAAAAGTTTAAAAGAACAAACAATTTTTTATACAACCACAATATGGGGTCGTATACTGCTACACAGTATACTGCTATCACATTGTTGTCCTTTAAAGACATTTGGTTATTACAGGACAAAAAATTTTAGTTTAAGTGTATGGTACTCTTTAATCTAAAGGTTCAATACCCAGTGGCGGATCCAGAAATTTCCCCCCTATAATGTGTCAAATATTTGATTACAATCCAAATTCAGACCTATATCAAACTTGAATATTGTGTTCATTTTTACCCCAACTGTTCAGGGTTCGTTTCCAGCTTTGCTTGGGAAACCGTTTATTGAAGTTTATTTTGCTTTTTGACAGAAAATTTATCCATTGCCAAGGTACATTGAAAGGTTTTTCTTTTATTAAAATCTGCACATATATTTATATTAATTTTTTATAAGCTTAACTGTTGATCTTCTTTCTGTTGTTTGCTTACATTTTGTTTCAATTCACTCAAAAGTAAAAGTATATAGTAAAGGTATAAATTAGTGAGCATCAATTCATACTACATGTAGTTTTTGTCTGGACTTCTTGATTAAATTATTTATATATACAATTTTAGCTTGTTACCAAATGAAAGGAAAGTACAGTATTGACAATGATTGATATCACTGGTGAACATGTATGTCATGTAGGTGTGAATGTCCTGCAAAAAAGAACTGATATCAAAGTAAGTTCATCTGTAGAATTGCAGTTAATTTAAATAATTTGATGTTATCTACCTAAAACTGTTTCAAGTATAACTGTACATGTACACTGTTGCTTATTTTTCTCACTTTCCCATGTAATGTATGCATCAAGGCATCCTTACTTTGCCCCTTCTACTGCTCCATACACACACACTTGAGATGTCAGAAGTTCAAACTATCATAGCATTTACATTTCAAACTTACACAGCTACAATAGTACAAGTAGTCTTGATGTACAGTTCTAAAGATGCATATCGAATGTACATCTGTAAAGCTGTATATAAACTGTACAGCTGTAAAGCTGTATATCAACTCTACAGTTTACAAACAGTTTTACGGATGTACAGTTTATATACAGCTTAACAGCTGTACAGTTGGTATACAGCTTTACAGATGTACAGTTTATATACAGCTTTATAGCTGTACAGTTAATATACAGCTTTACAGATGTACATTCGATATGCATCTTGAGAACTGTACATCAAGATTACTTGTACTAAAGTAGCTGTGATATAGACATCAATCTTATTCTACAAGAAGAGAAAAGGGGGGGGGGGGGGGGAATCAGAATCAAAGGCATGTATAATAGATGTGCCATTTGACTTTGGTACACTCAAAATGATTGCTTCTACCTTGACAATGTCCAGTACGGGGTGACATCCTCCGCTATTGCTTGCAATAGCAAATCTAGTGTTAGAATAACCTTAATCGCCATTCATTTTTTCTGATGTAAGAAGAGGAAATAGAGTATATTTCTCAATCTTACGTGTAAAATTGTGCGTTAGATATTTGACACTGAACAGCACAAAACGTATAGACAAGGAATAAACCAATGCAAAATGTGTCATTTTAGGCTATACAAAGTATTGATCAATCAATCAAATCATAATTAAAGTGATCAAATCATGATAAGAGATCAATCAATCAAGTTTTGATATCAAACAAGTAATTAATCAAGTGCAGAATTCGAAAAAAAACGTCCCCTCACCTTTTACAAACTGTCAATCAGTCGATCAATCAATCAATCAAACGATCGATCAATCAATCGATTGATTGATCAATCATGATCACAAACCATCAATCAACCAATCCACATATCTTTTCCGATCAATTTATGAAAGAAAATACCTTTAATTCGCTTTTGAACAATCGACTTTTGCGTATTATTATGTCACCCCTTTGATAAAAGGGGGGACATATTGTTATTCTACGAATTATTCTATCACACTTTTTCTCCAGCTTAGTTCTCGGTGAGTTGACTTGACATACATTGATAAAACTGCTCCATAATGACAATCCCCATGTGCAGATGTGCACTTTGGGTTTGGAATTTTCAAGATGGCTGCCGTTACCATGGAAATGGCAAAAATGTGAAAAACCGAAAAATGGTCCAAATTAAATGAAACTTTATAGCTGTACAGTTAATATACAGCTTTACAGATGTACATTCGATATGCATCTTGAGAACTGTACATCAAGATTACTTGTACTAAAGTAGCTGTGTACCTAGTCAGACTGGCCTATATTATGTATTGATAAGTTGTTATCATTTAGAATACATAAAATATTTGTCACTGGACATTAAAATAAGCAAGAAAAATCAACCAATTAATGATTTTGCATTATCAGAATGAATTTGCAAACATATAGCAATCAGATTATATACATGGATAAACCTTGGAGCTTTTTCAATGAACCAGGCTCAACCAGCATATAAATATAAAAAGATGAGGTATGATCCTCAATGATTCATTTAAAATTCCAAAGGACATTATTATTTATATAATATAATGCTATTTCACACTTTCAATTTTGTTTTTTGATCAGAATGTTTTTTTGTCAAAACATAGCCATAAGTATTTCTATTCTTGGCGGCATTGTCAACGATTTGTATAAAGCTTTATATTTCAGAAGGTAGAAGACCTGGCCTTGAAGTCATAAAACTTTTGAGTCAGATTTTTGTACTCATACTCCAAAATCAACCAATCAAAATGTTTGATTTCATGTTTCGAGCATGATTTTTGTGCTCCGAGCACTGAGCAAAGTTTTATGACTTCAACCCCTGGACTTCATATCTTGTTTGCAGAGGCTTATGTTACAAAGATTCTGTCTGTCATATGTCCATTGTCCTCGACCTCAATTTCATGGTTCAATAACTGCTTGAAAAAAATATATAGTTCTTTTGTCATGTGAATTTCTCACTTATGACATGTATGAGTTATAGGATATTATAACTATATTTGGTATATGGGTTCCTTGCAACATCTACGTGTCTGTTAGAAGGGTTCACCTGACTTCTTCTTCACTTTTTTGATCAGTGACAAGGTCCATTTCTCAAATCCTATAAGCAGTAGGTCAACTGTACATGTATATCAGTCTGGCAAGTCAGTCTGGCAGGTTTCATCTGATCTTGGGTATGACCTCATTTCATTTATCAATGTTAAGTTTTTGTATTTTTGCTGATTTTCAAGTACTACAAGCTTAAATAATAGGTCAACTATATTTGGTGTATAAAAAAATCGTTTGGTGTAGATGTCTGTCTGATAGGATTTATCCAACCTTCACCTCATGGTCAAAGATCTGTAAAGTGTTAAGATTTTGTGATACTTTCAGTAATTTTACCTTTATCTTAAAGAATTTCAACATAAAATAAATGGTCAGCATGTGCACTCTAAGTCTTGTTGAGGTACTGGTTACCTATGAGTTGTACGCTTAACATGCTTTGACAATTTTGTAAATACTGGTTCAACCTACAGCTTGTATTTAATAGAGGCTCTTCCAAGTTATGGCTATGGTAGTTTGATCAAAATTCCTTCATTGTTTGATTAATTTATTGATACTGTTTCTTCACATTGATATATGAGTACACACACAACTTTGTTTTAAGATTTCATAAAAGGAAAGTAAAAGGAAAGGCTTACATTAGTTTGACAGCAACCTTACAACAAAAAGTACAATAAACATGGACATGACAGCAGTTTTTATACAACCGCCAAAAATCACATCATCGTCCGAAATTTAAAAAAAAAATTTCTTCAAATATTATTTGGGGGAGGGGTGTCAATTCGCAACAGCATAGTGTTCTGCACAAAAGCAAAAAAATGAATATAAATTCAAATCATATAACCAATTCTAGTTCTTTGACTACATTTATTCTGTGTCAGAAACCTATTATTTGTCAAATATTTAATAACAATCCAAATTCAGACCTGTATCAAGTGCGAATATTGTGTCCATTTTTGCCCCAACTGTTCAGGGTTGGACCTCTGCGGTCCTATCCAGCTGCACTCGGCAAAGCAATTTATTTTAACATGCTAAAACTCACAATATGTCATAGGCATATACTTTGTAGGCGGTTTGGGACCTCTTAAGTGTATTAGACTATTAATTATTATAACATTACTTCATGGAAGTTAAATTTATATTATTTATGAATATTTTATTTCAGTTACCATTCACAGTGAACATGGTGAAGAATAACCAATACCATGAATACAGGACATAGAAGACTACCTCACAAATATGGGAATTTTACAAAAAATACAACATTTTAATTTACAAAGAAGACATTTATTTTGACATTCATGGACTTTGAAAGTAAAGAAATTAGAATGTGAATAAAAATCCTTGGAAATAAAATTTTGAACTTTGAAGAAAATTGAAGATTATGTTTGTTCTAAGAAAGTTTTAAGAAAACAGATACATTCAAAACTGTAAAAAGGAAACAATACAATATTCACAATTACTTTTGAGATCAATTACTCTTGATATATAATTAAAAGATCATATAAAAGTAAGGAAATTTGGTTGAATTGCCAATGAGAAAAATATCCACCAGAGTTCAAATGATGTGATAGTGAGCAATTATAGGTCACCATATGTCCTCCAACAATGAAAAAAACCCAACTATATAGTGTGCTATGAAAAGGTTTGGATATGACAAATAGAGAAAACTAAGAGCCTTATTTTAACAAGTTAATATATCAGAGTTATCATCAATATTCAACTTGTTAAACAACAAGTCACTGTATGACAGAAAGTTCTATGCCAAAAACCTAGTATGTATTGCATCAGAAACAAATTTTAGATAGAACACTAGGAGACTATATAAGGAAATGCAGATAAAAAGTATCATCACCTTAAAATAAAGTATAGCATTTTGTCATTGACAGTTCCATCAAAAGTTTCAGCAATATAACTGTTACATAAAAATCAAACCATACAGGTATTTTTTTTCAAAATATCTCTATATAATAATATGCATAATATTAATAGACGTTATACGTCCGTGGTACAAAAAATCCGTATTACGGACGTGGTACTAAACATCCGTATTACGGACGTAGCATTATAAATCCGTATTACGGACGTTTAACGGATGTTTTACGGTTTGATACGGACGTATTATGGATGGGAAGCAACGGACGTTTTACGTCCGTGGTACTATTCGTCCGTAGGTTTTCCGTATAATACGGACGTATTACCGATTTTTTACGGACGTAATACGTCCGTAGCTATTTTACCTGTGTATAGGGTATACATTTACTATTATTTGTATCTTTACAGCTTGGTCTCAACTTGCAGTTATCTAACAATTTTCAAAATATATTTGTTTACTACAGTAGTATAGATACATTGTGTATCATTCATGTTGAAATAACTAAATTGATATCAATTATAAGTAAATTGTAATTGCACTTCAAATGACAAAAAGGGTATTATATTGCTTTAATTTTATTTTGTAAATTTTATCACGGAAACAATATAAAAAGTGCCCTAGTTGATAAATGCACTCAATTATAAAGATAAGAATAAAACTGACGTTTTTTTAACAATGACTTCATTATTTTTTTTACGATTAACAATGATTTGTTCAAATCGTTATTTCTTTAAATTTTCGGAATTGAAAAACCATGTCCAAATGAAAACTTTACAACGTTTTCCCCTTCCCTCTCTGTTGATGATATTTAATCAACAGGATACAGCTGTTGAAATAAGATTCGTTTCAGGAGAATTAGAACCATCAATTTTGATTCTGAAACTGTAAAAATTCTACTGTACAGTATGCAACGCACCACCTTTTTTAAATCAAGGCTATAAAGGTTCATGGCCGTAGAAAATGTCATTGTACTTGATTATGATTGTTGGACAGAGTGCTTGAATTGAAGTGTGTTTTAACCCTTGATTAGATAGTCATCGATGGAAGATAAAGATATGGAGAATACATTAAGGAAGTGTAAAGGATGAAGTGCGCGTATGAATATGGTAGACAATCACGATGAATGTTTCGACTCACAATTTCAATATGAAAGATTTTACCATTTAAACAATGCTGGAAGTTGAAGCCTTTAGTTTGTTTCATTTGTCAAAAATTATTGATGTATCAATTTGGTAAGAAAAGGAGTAAAGGCCAGACAATTTTGGACGTCATGGACAGCTCTTACATTATAGATTTCAAACAAAGTGTAATTTGTCACTTTCTTTAAATTTCTTTTTCAGAATACATTGGGTTCTGGTTTGACAGTATTCATTGTTTTTGTACCAATCCATCATCAAACAAGTTATGTCCACCTGTGATAATGGTTTGCACTGGTATTGACAAAGTTGATAAGGTAAAGCAAAATAGAGACATTTGATACTTTGTAAACAAAAGTAAATATGGAAATAGACATCAATATCCCTGAAAGATTTTTTTCTAAACCATTTTTGTCTATTTACTTTTGGAAAACCAACAACAATGTGCTTGAATGGAGGATAATATTGATATATGTTTTTTTTCTCTAGAGGGTTTCGTTATCCATGCAGGATTTTGTACGGTTATGATTTTCGTTCAAAATAATAATTTCTATAGATGGTGTCTATACCAGGCTTTTAGAAGCTTTTGTACTGACAACTGTTACACTGGAATGAATTCTTACTGTAGACACTATCACTAATCAGGCAAGTAATGTTTATAAAATGGCATGATGTTGCGTTCGTGTTGACAAATAATTTTTGTTCACATTTGTATTGAATATATCTTTCGATAGTATCACTTATCAGGCAGGTGTTTGGAAAGCACAGTTATAAATCCCCGTTCAACGCAATACAAACTCCAGCTATCATCACGGGTATTGCAGGTTACAAACATTTCAGACCAGTTCGCATTAGATGAAATAAAACAGAAAAGGGTTGTTGTTAAAACTTTCAATTGACAAAGGTTTGGTTGCAATTATCTAGTGCAATAGCCTTTAATATAATTCATTTCAATCAACAATACCGTCTTAGATTAAATATTAAGCTACTCCTATCATCTCTTTTACCAAACAAATTACGAATTAAATGTGCAATTATTGCAGGATCTATATATTGACGACTATAAATCGAAACCTCATGATTCGCTTGTGCTACTTCTCCATTCATATATTATTTGGCTGGCCATGTTATTACTGGTGACCTGAAGATTTACAATAACACTTTGACGATGTTTCAGAGTCAAAACTTTGACATGGACTATGATTTATTATTGTGATGATGTCATAGTGTAAGATTAGAGTTGATAAACAATTCAAAAATGCGTGATGCCTAATCATTTGATATAACTTATATAAGTATTAAAAAACCCGATGGATGTCGAAAGTGGTGCAGGATCTGTTTACCCTGGTCATTCCAATTTTTTTGTGGAGCTTGTGTCCCTTAGTCTTTAGTTTTCTATGTTGTATTGTAAAATGTTGTTTGACTTATGTTTGTTGTTCGTTTATTTTTTCATAGCGTGGTCAGTCTGTCATCGACTTATTTGTTTGAATATCCCTTAGTGTATCTCTCTTCTACTGTATAACAAAGCTTTCAGGGGAAATATAGCAAAGAGAAACACATAACCGAAGGAGAGGAAAGCTCATGTTATGAATATGGGTTAAGAATTTCAGTTTTTAGGTCTTTCCACTTTTCTGTGGAAAGACCTATTGTATTTGTTCTAATTATTTTGTTTTCTTCCGGCAAATTTTATAATATATCGTACAGATTATGAACTTTTAAATAAACTTATCATAGATACAAGGATTGCAATTTGTATTTGCGCCAGACGCGCGTTTCGTCTACAAAAGACTCATCAGTGACGCTCGAATGTAAAAAGTTAAAAAGGCCAAAGCTTAAATTTCACCCTGCTTAGCCTAACAATTTTCTTTGTAAGAGTTATCTCCCCATTCGCTGTTTATCATGTGTGTGCATCTCCTTCGTACAAAAAAAAAGAAACTGACAAGATTATTTTTCTGAATAGTTTGTTACATCCTCAGGAATTTTTAGCTAATTTGGATAGAAGCGATCCGGTGACATTTTACAGGATTTATCTATCCGTCGCTATTTATTTTATCGGTATGTCAGTGTAACTCATTATAACCGTAAGCCGTAAAGACCTAATGATCTTTTGATTTGAGATCCTTGAGTCATAACTTGGAAAATCAGGTCAAAGTCCAAGGTCATATTTTAAATTCTGCCCTTTGATAGTGTGAGCATCTCCTCTCAAACTATGAAAGCTAGATACAAAAGAACTGATGCAAAATGTTTAGGTTGTAGTGAGAATTAAATGGTAAATTTGGTCCAAAGCTATCTGATGATATCTTATAGGACTTATTGTCCCTTAAATGTTAAAATTTTAAGATGATTGAATAAAACTTTATTTTGGTACATGATAAAGGTTTATTGTCTTTTGCAAAGAGTTAAGTGACATATGAGCTTGAAAAATATCAACCGAAAGTGACCTTTTGCAAACTGGAAGTACCTTTTTTTGCAGTAATTCGCGGGAAAAATACTTAAAAACTATATAAATTTTTAGAATCAACATTCAATAACCTTTTAATAACCCCAATGTTGCCTTTTAAAAACCGAAAATAGCTAATTATCACCCTTATTTGAAAGAAATATATGCAAAGCGTATATTTTCGGAATAAGTGGAAAACAAACTATCATATGAGACCGGAAATGATATTTTTGTACACGGAAGTAGCAAATTATCTCCTAATTTTTAGTCAAAAGTATATAGAAACTATGATTAGATGCCAATAGTAACTTAGGATAAACAGGAAGTAGCTTCTAATCAATTATTTAGAAATGTAATGTGGAAAGACCTTCAATTGTTCTCTGACCAATTGGTTTTCAATTTTATCTATGTATCATTAATTTTAATAAGAATTTTTAAGAATTTCGTTAAACACAAATTTAAAACATTCAACAGCGACTGTCATACAATCATGAGGTTAGCTAGCTGTAAAATCCGGTTCAATCCATCATTTTCTACATCAGGAAATGCCAGTACTAAGTCAGCAACATGACAGCTGTTATCCATTCGTTTGATGTTTTTGAACTTTTGATTTTGCCATTTGTTTTGGGACTTTTCGTTTTAAATTTTTCCTCGGAGTTCGATAGTTTTGTTATTTTACTTTTTTTCTTTAGACATCTATGCACCATTTGGCAAAACCACAATATTAAACATTCCCGAAAAAAATTAATGATTCACGAAGAAAGTACCTAAGAAATAGATTAAGTTACAGTATACCAAAATGTTGTTTCAAAACAATTTTAGTCCTCATTCAAGGTTAATTACTACATACCTATTTGCGTGCAGCTCAAATATCGACTTATTTGTCCAAATTTTTATTTTAACAATTTGAAAAATAGTGATTCAAATAGCGATGTAATATCCCAATGTTACAAGTGATTATGTGATGACTTTTAGAATTTATTTTTGTACTAGGTGGCCTTTCAACACAAGACGAAATAAAAGTTTGTTACACTTGTTTCATGTGAGGAACAAGTACGTTTTTGTAAATTTGTTTTGGTGGAGAATTGAAATAATTACAACTGATAAAAAAAAAATCAGATATCTAATACTTAATCATTAACCAGTACACATTCAACGTCTAGTGAATTTAGTGTAAAGACGCCATTAATATTCAAAGACAAACATGACCTTGTGCAATTACAAAATACAGGTATTGACAGATTGTAGAACCACAAAGGTGCATTATTAAGACACTATCAAAATCATTATTATGAGAAAACTATTTAAGCTTAACAGTGGGTCATAAGTGTTTCCCGTTTCTCGTTTTTATGTAGATGAGACCGTTGGTTTTCCAGTTTGAATTGTTTTGCACTAGTCCTTTTTGGGCTCTTTATAGCTGGCTGTTCGGTGTGAGCCAAGGCTCCGTGTTGAAGGCCGAACTTTGACCTATAATTTTTTACTTTTTTACACATTCTGACTTGGATGAAGAGTTGTCTCGTTGGCACTCATACCAAATTCTCTTATTTCTATATAACTTGAAACATTCTATTCCAGAAGTTAGGATTCACGTTATTAAAAAAAATATGCTAAAAGTGCATTAAATGTTCAAAGAAATAAGATTGCATGGAAAGATCTATATTTTTAGGCTTTTGTTTTTTTCAAATACAATTTTATATTACTCACTAGAATGCAAAAATTAGTATCGTCAATAAGAATATACAAATACCTTATAATTCTACCTATGCACACAATTCAAATATGAGTTCATTGTATAACTTATTTTTAAACATTAAGCTGAAAAATAGCATATCTCACATTGATTCAGACGATACAATGTTTTAGGCACTTTTCATCAATAAGGGCGATAATAGACATTTCAGGTGTTAAATCAAAATCACATCCGGTGTCACATAATAGATTGATTTACGCTGATTCCAAAAAATTATAAGGTTTCTATATAGTTTTGCTTAAAATAAGGTATATGAGTTGCTACTGTCCTCATTACAAAATTTCACTTCCGGTATCAACTAATTCGTTACTTCACACTGATTTATAACTGATTTTTATTTGCTATAAATGGCTACCTCCATTCTTTATAAATTCATCTCTGGCTGACATCTATAAGATCATACGTCTACCAAACCTTAAGCAAAAAACATGGCTTTTTGTTTAAAGATGAATTAATAGTAGAGGTCAAAATCTAGAACATCAAATTTTCTTTTGACCTGATTTTGAAGATCATTAAGCAAGGACTTTAAATTAAATTACCCTAGATCTCTACTTTATAAGTCAACACACACTTTTATGCTCTTCAAACGGCTTGTTCTTTCTTTAACACATTCCCCGTTTCCATTCTCTTTTTTATTTATTAAATATAACGAGGAAATGAAAAGAAAGTGTTAGCAACTAAACTAAATTAGATAAGGTCAATACCAGAGTTGAAGAACAGGAACAGTATTCGCGAAGAACGAAGCTTCCGTAATGTTCCAGTTACAACTGTTGTTAATGGTGAATTAAACTTATGGCCTTCGTATTTGCAAAAAAGATTTTTTCAATTCAGATTTGTACACAAAAGACTTTGGCAGCTCCTTTGTGTGAGGTCAGAGATAGCAAAATAGAAAAATAGTTTACTCTCCCTGTCTTACCAGTAGAAGCAATTAGTTTTCAACAGCAAGTGTACATTAAAAGGAAACACAAAGAAAACTTCCATTTCAAAAAACCTTACAAACTCTTGTCCCTGAATACCGGTATGACCTTCCGAATTATACTTATCACCGGGTTAATGATATTATTGAAAAATGTCTGTACAAAGTCACGAATAAGACTTTTGTTTTCTATTCGTTTGATGTGTTTGAG